AGTGCCCTTGTACTCTTACCTGATGGATAATCCTCAGGGGACCTCCTCCATAATGGGCCCTATCCCTAGTCCCTCTGAGATTTGAGTAGAGAAAGCTCAGAAATGCTTGGGCTCCTGAGAGAAGGAAGACGGTAATCCTGCCACCCTCTGCACCATTCACGTATCCTGGGCCTGCCTATTTGCTCATGGACAACCTGACCCAGGAAGAGGAATGATGTGGGGAAGAGGTTATTTGGGCCAAAGACAAGAAGACAACAGGGCTGAGGTGTTACTGTTTTCAGCCAGACTCTGGCCATTGGAGCATTGGCTCTCCTCAAAGGAGGTAGGCCGAAAGCTTGGGGAGCCTCTTGACTAAATCCTACCCAATTCTATTACACTCCAGCCCTGCAGATACTGAACACCTGACCAGTATATGCTACAAACCTCTACTGACAAGGAGGTCCCTGCCCCTCCAAACCAGGCAAGACCTCATAGCTCCTTAGTTGAAATGTACCTTCTCGGAGACATTAAAGGAACCTACTCTCTCACAGGAAAACCAACGGCCCAGCTGGAGGGCATATCTTATACTTTGAAAGTACCACCAACACCCCGTTTTACTCCCAGACAGAACCTGTAGACAGAACGTCATCTCTTGTGGCTTTTTCCTAATGTCCCCCTTCCTCCTTCCCTTCCTACCTTCCAAAGCTCTCCAGACATAGGGTACCACGCCCTCAACTTTGGAAAGCCTTCTGCTTGGTTTTCCTGCTACCCTCAGTCCCTGGAGAAGGCAGAGTGGGAAGGTTTCCAATTTTACTCTGGAGGACCAGGGAGGTGGAGTGATGTGCCCAAAGGGGGGCCTTTGGGCAAATCACTTGGCTTACCTGGTTCCCAGCCTGGGACCACAGGCCCCTCCCAAAACGCCAGGTGGAAATGCTCCCTGGACATCTCTCTCTCTCTACGCAAGTCGCGGAACAAGAAGGAAAATAAGATACCAGCCTAGCCTGGAGAATGGAAACTTGGCTAGTGGCTGTGAGGTTAGCATCCTGGGAACTGCAAGGCCTGTGGCTTCTGAAGAAAGAGAAAACATGATCAATAACCCAGAGGTTATCTTGGCTTGGAGCTGCTTCAAAAGAATGTGTCCTTGGCTTCTGAGCTAGGTCAGACAAGAGAGCTGTGTGTGTGTGTGTGTGTGTGTGTGTGTGTGTGTGTGTGTGTGTGTGCGTGCGCGCGCGCGCATGTGCACACACAAGGTATATGCATGTGTGCCTATGCATGCACAGGTGTGTGTTCCTGCATGTGTGCATGTGTGTGTATGTGTAGGTGTGTACATGCAAGGAGGACATTTTAAAGAGTATCCCAGAGAAGTTAATGCTTATTCCCAAGGAAGGGAGCAATAATGGTGGAATCTTAGGCAGCAGGCATTTTCAGCTGGGAGACTCAGAGGATGCCTGAGGTGAGTCGATGTGATGATGGATACTGGGGTTCCAAAGGTGCAGGCAAGGGCACTCAAGGTCCTTAAGTGAGAAAGAATCAGACTGGCATATCTCACAGGCTCCTAAACACCCTGCAAATGTCTCCCAAAGCTAGCTAGAAACTGGCCATCTCCCAACAAGGCTGGGGGTGAGGAGTCCTCTGCCATTAGGGAGACCCCTCTACCTCTTCCACATAAAGTAGCACCAAGGCCCTGAAAGAATAAAGCAAGGAGGTGAGTGTGTCTGGCGTGGAGTGAGGCACAGGTGGGAAGTAAGGTCAGAGAGGCTGAGGGGCCAGATTGCACACGGTTTTATAGGCCACTGTGAGGGATGGACCTAGGTTTGTGGGGACCTGATGCATATGCAATTTAGGGGACCGTCCTTACAAAAGTAAAAATTTAAAACAGAAATTTGACTCTGGGCCTTGGGGGTCTGTGCAAGTAAATGAGGGGCCTGGACAGTAAATCCACCTCTGGCTGAGGTGAGAATTTTGGCTTTTGCCTGGAGTGGGAACTATGGGAAGGTTTTGAACAGAAGAGTGACCTGACCTAATTAACCTTTTAACAGGATCCATCTGGCTGCAGAGTGGAGGATGAACTGGGGACAGAGGGTGGGGAGGATAGAAATTAGGACACCAAAGAGCAACCTGGGTGAAGCAGTTGTGGCCAAGGAGTGGGCAGTGGGCAGGTTCCAAAGGCAGAACCAACAATATCTGCTGACGGTAGGATGAGAGGTGTGAGAGAAGGAAAGCAGAAGGGTGGCCCTGAGGTTTTAGGCTTAATGCAGTGATCTCCCACTGAGGCGGGAAGAAGAGTGATCACTGACTAGCCATCATACCATGCAGGTCTCTGTTTTATCTCTTACACCCACCTGAGCCTGAGCTTCTATTCTTCTCACTTCAGAGATAAAGATACTCAGAGGTGAAGTAACTTGCCCAAGGCCACACAGCCAGTAAATGACAGAGCCTGGATTCAAATACAGATTTTCCTAATTCCCAAGTTGATATCTGTTCTAATACACCAAGAAGAGCAAGATTTGGGGACCCAAGTAGCATGTTGGGTGGGAGAGGCACTTTCTGGAGGTTAGGAATGTTCCAGTGACCACAAGGTCCCGTGGACCACTCCACACCTACCCTTACCACCACCCCCCCAAAAAAAAAACTGCAAAGAAAGTTCTTGACACCCTATGCCCAGTCTTCCCTGACTCCTTCCTAACCCTATTTCTGATCCACTGACTGGAAGATCTCAGCTGCAATCTTGGGAAAATATTTTTTTGACATTTTTCAAGTTTTCCTTATTCACTGACAAGGTGATGACTGCTTCAATCCATTACACACATTTTCTAAAGGAGTTTCTGCATTAGGATGCAAAGCAGGCTTCTCTGGCTTAGAGAAAACCTGAGATTCCTGGTATTCAATCTTCTAACTCAGCAGTCCCCAACCTTTTTGGCACCAGGGACCGGTGCTCCTACGAGAATCTAATTCCCAATGATCTGAGGCGGAGCTGAGGCAGTGATGCTAGCAGTGGGGAGAGGCTGCAAATACAGATGAAGCTTCACTCACTTGCTGGCTGCTCACTTCCTGCTGTGTGACCCGTTTCCTAACAGGTCACAAAAGGGAACTGGTCCATGGCCTGGGGGTTGGAGACCCCTGTTTTAACTGATTTAGCCCCTAAATACAATTCATTGCATTTAAACTATAGGAATTGCTGGTCTCGGATGTTTCATCTCCAGAGGAGTCCCTCACCGTCACAGTAATCCCTATGGCGTAGATTGATATTTTTATTATTATGATAAATTTGAAAGGCTTTAGCCCTTATCTTTTGGGATGTTCGATTCTACTGTAGTTTACCTAGAATGGCTCATGTCACTTTCTGCACTCTTTGCTTGAAACTGAGGAGAAATGAACACATCAGTGGAAGCCCTGACTTATGGATCTTTCACCATCTTGAGGCTTTGTTCTTTTCAAATCACACCCCTTCAACACCAAGAACAGCACCTGGCAGGCCAAGCTGAATAGCCCTTGTCCTCTCCAGCCTACCCCCAGCCCTCTGCTCCTGGCAAAATCTGCCAGCAGGAGCAGATATTTGATCTGTCATAGATGCCGTGATGTTACACTGCCCAGATGTTCCACTCACCAGACTGAAGGCTCAGGTTACAGCTAATCAGGGCTGCTTTTGCCTACAGACCCCATGCCCACTCCCCGCTCCTCTCCCCTCAAAGAGACAGGCAGGAGCCATGGGCCACATGGGCAACTGAGATGGAGTAAGTAGGACCTGCACGGAGTCAGGGGTCTCACTGAAATGTCCCCATTAGAGTCTTCACACCAGTGGCCTAGAAGGCATGTACTGGAAGCAAGGCCTCTAGGGCCATTCAGACTGGATAATGCCTCCCCCAGTCCTCAAACACCTGTATCTCCTTGCCCTCTAGGACCCACTTCCTTTCCTTGTCGATAGTTTAAAAAGAGTCTGGATGGAGCCTGGAAACACTCCACAAGAGAAACAGAACAAACTGTGATCAATGTAGCTGGAGTGTTTCCAGGCCACCCAAATGTGCCTGATTCCTCCCCAAATATTGTGGAACTGCATTTTACTGCTAAGAAGGGGTGGGGAAGTTTGCAAATTTAGCATTAAAAAATTTTTTTTCTGCTATCAGAATGAAGTCAGGCCCAAGAGATTACTATTGAGGAGGGGGAGGTGATGTAGGCTCACGTGGTGTCCACAGAAACACAACAAAGTCCTCACCCTTTCTTGTATAAAAGACCACTCTTGTTCAGGGAGTTGGTGAAAACTGTACACTTGACTTTATGAAATGTCTAGTCACTGCAAGAAATTTGATCTCAAGACCAAAACCAGGCTGTAGCAAACTTAAGAGTTAACCAGGCTTCACCAAGTGACTTAGGGGACTCCAGCAGGACCCTGCAAGCTGCTGGCTCTCTGACAGTGGTGGCCAAAGCTGGGGCAGAAAATGGCACGGAGAATGGTCAGCACCTGCTGGACACCTCGCTCCCCTGAAGGAGTGGCCAGAGGCAGATACTGGGTGCCCATTCCTAGGGCAGAACTGGAGGGGCCTAGGGGTACTGAGGCCTGGAGAGAGGAGGGTGCTGACTTCTCCCCTCTTCATGAAGCTACCTCCCACCTTAGATGGTCAGGGCTGAAAGGGTCCCTCCAAGGTCACCCAACACCCATACTTTGCTGGTGAGGATAGCAGAGATCCTGGGATTCCCCAAGGCACAGGAACAGGATGGAAGTCTTTCAAACTGCTTTCAATATTCAGAAATGCCAAGAAACCTCATCCTCCAAGGGCAGCAGTTTCCAAACTTGTGTATTTTTAGCAGCAGAAGCCATCCTCCAAACAAAACCTTATGCAAAACCTCAAACTACAAAACAGATCAGGGGGCCACTCTCCCCATTAGAGCCTGAGCCAGGCCCCCAGGTCCCCTACTAGCACCCAAGACTCCTTCCTCAGGGCCCTGTGTAGAGCTCAGTCTGAAACTCCAGGCCTTGTGGGGCTTGTAGCCCTGGAGCTGAAACAGATCAGGTGGGCTCTTACTTAAGACCCCTGGAGGGTGTGGCTGGTCTCTGAGACCTGGACAACTTCATTCTCCACCAGGCCCTGACCCCCGTCCCCATTGAGCTGTCTCATGCGCAGGTTAATGGAGCCATAGGTCTTCCTAGAGCCCCTGCCGGGGACGAAGGTTGGCCGGCGGTAGAGCTCGCCCTTGCACAGGGAGACCATCAGCAGCACGGACAAGAGCATGCCTCCCACTGTGAGCAGCCCCAGGCCTGCAATGATGCACTTGTCCAGGTGGGAGCCCAGGCGAGCATAGTACATCTCTAGTCGTTCCATCTCCCGTGCTGTCACTGAGTCCGGGTTGACACGGGCCTCACGGGGGATGGCGTACGCTGTCACCACCAGGAGGATCCCACTCACCAGGAAAACCAGAGCAGAAACAAAGCCATAATCCACTGGGCGGCTCACAGGCTCCAGGCCTGGCCCCTCTTCTGAATGCAGGGACAGATCGTCCGGCTGAGATCGGGGCCATGAGGGGACACCCCCGGGGGAGTTGGAGGGGTTGTCCAGTCTGGCATCTCCAGGGTTCTGGAAATGGGTCTCATGTTCTTCTGAGGAGAAGCAGGCATTCTCCACACCCTCCCTGGGTGGGGCCACCGGGCCCAGAGGAGCTGGTCTCCTTGGGGTCTGGAAACCACTGCTCAGTGTCTTCAGTTCCAGACCAGGGGGAGATGCCATTGGTAAGAAAGGCCCCTGCTCATCCCTTGGCCCCTAGGCAGCTGGAAGAGAAAACAGAAAGTCAGCTGAATTTAGCAAATCTCTACCAAGGGCCTGCTAGTGCCAGACATAACACTGGGCCCCAAGCAATGTGCAGGTGAGTGAGGCACAGTTCTCAGCTTGGGGAGCCTGACAGAGAGGAAGGTAAGGACTCAAACAAAGACAGCAGTGTAATCCGATCCGTACTAGATTCCTGCTTCACCACTGGCTGGGTTTGGGGAATTCACTTATCCTCTCTGGGCCTCGGTTTCCTCATCTATTAAATGACAATACTACTACCACTCCCTGATGTAGGGATTGAGATAATCTATATAAAGCACTCATAACAGTAAATTCTCAGTATCAATAATGAGCTATTACTATGATGGAGGGAATTTAGATACAGTGTATATCAGGTTCAAATCCAGCTTCACTGCTTGAGCTTGGGCAAGTGTGACTTTTCCACGCTCAATCTTCTCCTCTGTTAAATGGCGATAAGCAAAATGCCTTCCTTATACGGTTGATGTGAGGATTTCGTAAAATGATGCACATAAGGCATTATTAATAGACGTTGTGATGAAGTGAGGATGACTGGGGGTGGGGGAAGGGGTAGAAATGATGCAAGTGGTGTGGTAACGAAAAGGAGAAAGTCAGCCTCTGGAAATTTGTGACATTTGAGCCAGACCTCAGAGGGAATCCCCTGACAGTGAGAGTGGATGCAGGCATTCTGGACAGGGGGAAGGGGTGCCTCAGAGGTCAGCTAGGACCAGCTCTCAAAGGACTCTGAACGCCAGGCCAAGGAGCCAGGGAGCTGAGACAGGAGCCAGGCAGGGAGTACTAACATCTGCCTAGGGTCCAGAGAGCTCTTTCTGGCTGCTGAGGGGAGGACAGACAAATGAGGAAAAAGAGAGGGGAGGCCCGGGGTCCAAGAAGGAATCTGATGCGGTCAGGGGAGGCGGAGATGGGGGCTAAGAGAAAGGAGCGTATTTGAGAGCCATGACCAAAGTTAAAGCCAAATGCCTTTATGTCAGTGGAAGCGGGGGGAAGGGGGCTAGATGAGGACCACAGAAGGGGAGCTGCGCAGGGTAGAAGGGGGCACTCTCTGCTCAAAGAGGAGATATCTCCCCAATACCTGAACATACCCACACAGAGAAACAGACAACACATGTGCATTCTTGCTGAAGGCCATCAACTTGCAGCCTGTGGGCTACATTTGGCTCACAGAAGTTTTGCTTTTTTTCTGTTTCTGGTCTGTTCATTTGTTTTTGGTGAAGTATTTGCCAATACATAAAAAGCAGATTTTACATTTTAAACTTTAGATTCCTGGCTTCCTTTAAAAAAAAAAAAAAAAAAGGAAGAATCTGGCCACCCTAGGCCCCCATTTCCTCATAACAACACTCAGCTGGAGTGGATAATGGAGTCCTCCCTTTGGCAGATCCAGTGTTCTCCCCCACAGGTCCCACCTCAGCCTCCTTCCCCACCTGGCATGTAGAATTCCTGATCCCACAGAACTACTGTGTTCCTCATACACGCTGATTTCCCAGGAGTACATACACCCCAGGGCCCCACACTGTACAGAGACCTCCAGTTGCAGAGTGACTCACATGCTCTAATATGTCTACACACACATGATTCTAGATGTTTCTCTGCACTCCCATGCCTGAGTTTCTTCTCCAGTGCATTGTGGTTCTGTGTGTGTGTATGTGTGTATGATAGAGAGTGAATGAATTGAATAAATGAAGTGAAAATGAAGGAAATGAATGAATAAATGAAACTCAGAGAGCCTCAGTACAGGAAAGAAGGCACGTTTTTTGATCTTTCTGATCTTTTTTCCAACATGGACTTGCATCGGACACACACACAAGGCTTTTCATTTGAGTACAAAGCCTATTTCCACTTACAACTCATTTCTATCAACACATTCCTTTTTCCTGAGTTCCAATTTAATAAATGTTTACTGTGCACCTACACTCCCTGTTGGGCCCTACAGTAGGCACTTCCCTTGGGAGTATCTCTCACCAGTCCCATAAGCAGGAATTACTACCTACATTTGATAAAACGTGGCCAAGATCCCATGATGTGCTAATGGGGGTCCAGAATTGAACTCAGGTTCCCTAAGAATTGTTATCTTCTACAAACCTGCAAACTCACACTCTGGCAGAAGTGGCATCATTACACCCCCCCTCTCCCACCCCCGGCTCTTCCGGCACTCGTTCTAGACTCTTTATCCCACTGTTTAACAGTCACTGTGAGCAGCTTGAGGGCAGGGACACATCTGAATTGTGTCTGGGTCCCCAGCCCCCTGCAGAGAGGTCTTAGAACACAGCCAGCCTCCAGGATTGGCCTGGCAACCGCAGGAGGCAAACAACCCCTCCCATGCAGGGGTTCATGAGGCTTACTCAAGGCCAAGCCCTGCTCAGACTACTCCCACTCCCACTAAACTAAGAGTGGTACATTGTTTGGCTTTGTTCCTCTTGGCACCAAAAGCATCTTCCTGAGTGCTCAGCCACAAACAGGGACTGGCAGTGACCACTGCTGCCCAGTGGGTGTCCAAATGACCTCCCCTCCTCTGGTCTTCAGCACCTTCCAGAGAACTCAGTCCCTGGAGTGGCCCAGGAACCACCTTCCCAGGCAGGTACACTGATGCCTCCATATCCCAGAGGAAACCAGGACACCCAAATTCTGAGAGTAGAGCTCTCTCTCACCAGCAGGAACCCAAAACTTTTTCCTTAGGATGCCAGAGTTAAGAAGAGAGCAGAGACAAAGGAGGCTCTCTCACCCAGAGTTACCATGTCTCTCATACAGGTTCAGAGATACCCACGGTCACACAAGGCTCGCCCAGTCAATTATCCAAAACAGAAACAGAAACAAACTGACAAGTCAGACGCTGGGGTCCCTTGCTCACACCGGCAACTGTACCAGTTACACTCCAATTTCATCTGCAGTCCAAAAGAACCTGAAAGGCACACCCTAGTTCTACACTCACACCCCCAGGGACGGTTTCCACACTTAGTACCCACAGACATGGGAAGCCACTTGGTGTGACCCATAGATCCGTGGACCACAGTGATACCCACACCAACAAAGGGGTAGGGCTGGTTACACA